AACCATTTGATCAATAAATATGAGAGATGCCCTCTCAAAAAAAAAAATCAAACAAATATTCATATTTGACCTGATTGTTTATAGTTCATAATGTGTGATCAAAACTGAAAATTTCTGTGATGACTGCCCTTGTACTGTTCACCATGTAAGAACTTATTCACTATGTAAGAATTTGTTCACCATGTAAGAACTTGTTCGTTATGCTTCAGAAGATTGGAGACTGATGAGAATTAGACTTGCAGTGGATTAATGATTGTGCATTGAGTCCCCTATACAGAATTTTATTGTTGTTAACAACCATTTGATCAATAAATATGAGAGATGCCCTCTCAAAAAAAAAATGATCTTAGTTGGAGGCCGTCAGCTACACCTTAAAAGCAGAAACCATGTTTGGTCAGGAATAGACTCTCCAGTTTGTCATATTGTATCCCCTGGACTGAGGCAAATTCTCATTTGTAGAGTTACAAGAAAAAAAGTTAGTATTTCTTGTAAACATGTCTTTATTCAAAGAAGAAAACAGGAAAGTAAGCCATGAAGGTGTAAATTTCTTTGAGGGAGTGCAAAACATTCAATGGTATTTAATATAACCATAAATATGTCTGTTGAAAGAATGTATCTTAAATCAGAATTATGCAACAACTCCAGAGGGCATCTGATTTTGCAATCCCTCATCTGGTTTGTCTGGATCCAAAATTATTGGAGATGCTGAATAGTACTGTGCCTCCTTGGAACTTTGAGTTGATGTGAAGTCACAGCTGTTTGCTTCCAATTTTGCCTTTACAGTCTAAGGAAAATTCCAGGGCATTGTTATGAAGTTTGTGCAAACCTGTGTGGATCAAGTGAAGGTTCCTATAACCAGGATCCTCACCTGAACCTCAACTACTTGATGATGTAACTGTCTTGCTGCTAGGCTACTGCTTCCACACCCATAGGCAATAAGCTATTATTGACTGAGTCACTATATAAAGGGCTCTGCCCAGTGCTCTGGGCTGAGGCAGAAACGAAAAAGGATTACAGGTTCACAGACTGTTGGATGCAGACATAATTCTAGTGCTCGACCTATCACCAGGAAAACAAAGCAGGTAATAAACCCTTTCACTCCAAGAATGTTCCCCTGTCATTCCTCAGTCTCATTGAATCCATAGTGGAACTTGCTGGGTGCTGAAACCCATTTGCAAGACACCTGGTAAGACCTGACACAGGCCAGAAAGAAGAAGTAGCCAAAACTAAGTCCTTGCATCCCTTGCTGTACTCCTCACAGAACTTCAGCTTTCAAAGCACCTCCTGTCCTGTCTCACCTGATCGACCCTGTGAAGTGGGTAGGAGTGGAATTGCACAGACAGGGAAGCAGGGCGCCTTGATAGGAACACATTAGTCTTGGGAGTCTGAGGAAAAGCACATACCAGACCCAGACTGCTCTGCCTTCCCAAGGCCTTCTGGAGGGTGGACAGAGAAGGCAGATGGCAGGAGAAAATAAATGGAATTGGAGAAGGGTGATCTAAAGAAAGCTGGCAGATTAGAAGGGGCTAAGAAAGTGCAGATGAAGGCAGACATTGAGGGGTTAAGGATAGGGCAGTGGAAAGGGTGAGGGACTGTCTTCAAGGAGAAAGAGCTGAGGTGGTATATCAGGGGCTTTGGGGGAACCTCACCCCACAAATGGCAAAATGGAGCCCAGAGGAGAGGTGGTTTGCCCAAGGATGTCCAACACTTTGCCAGGTGGGCACTAGAACCTGAACCCCAGTACCCTGATCCCAGTCCAGGAACTTCCTTCTGTTTGTCACAGGGAAGATAAGTCAGTGGGTCGAGAGACGCAAAAAGGTCAGAGGCAGGCAGGAGTCGAGTAGCAACCAGAGTGGACAGAACGCTCTGCCGAAAGCTGGTAGTGCTCTTAATGGTCCAAGACCCAAGTAGTTGAGTCCAAATAATCCGAACAAGCGACTTCGAAGCCGTGATTTCATGTGGCCTAAAGACTTTCACAGCTTGCGGCTAGAAGGCAGCATAGGAAAGGTCCCACCAGTATTCAGGGACTTTCGGGACCTCCCGAGAGATGATCAAGAGCTTTTGGAAATGTCAGGGCAGGACTCAAATATCAAACGGCCGATATTTTAGGACAGCTACAATCTACGAAATATTCAGGAGAATTGTAGATTACAGGGAAATGGTTAGAGAGCAGACGAAATCTGCCGAATTGCATTCTGTAATTTCCTGCTTTCTCAAGGCACACTGGGGGGCTTTCGGCTCTTCGCGATCTATCAGGAGTCAGGTTTCTAGCCTAAATCGTAAGGGACTGACAGCTCTCGGCAATTTCCGTAAATATTCGGACTCGGCCATAGAGTGCCGCCCTCTGGCGGCGGTAACTGTCAACACCAGCAAGCCCCAGGCTGGGCAAGCAAGCGCAGACGCAGTAGCGCGCCGCCAGCCGTTCGGACCGGACGTGTTTGTTGTTGAGATCAGTTCCGGCGGGTGACGGTGCGGACGGGTCAGAAGCGTAGAGGCGGCGGCAAAATGGCGGCGCCAGAGGAGCGGGATCTAACCCAGGAGCAGACAGAGAAGTTGCTGCAGTTTCAGGTAGCAGCGAGTACTCGGTGCAGCAGATGCCGCTGCAGGCTGAGGAGCAGGCCCCTAGAGGCCCCAGAACCCTCTTCAGATTGGGCCCGAGAGTCTTCTCAGACCAGCGGCGGCCCCCTCCCCGCAGACGCTAACTGCTCTGCTGCTCCCGGCCCCCGAGCCTCTGTCGGTCCCCGGCCTTCCAGCCAGAGCTGCGGCCAGACCCACCTTCCCTCTGCCCCCTTTCCCTTCTCCCCTCAGCGGGTCAACTTCCTGATTTTCCTTCGTGGCTCCTGTCCTCAACCATCCTTTCCAACCCTGTTGCCCATTGGATCCTCTCTGCCTGACGACTCAGGATCTTCCGAGATGCCTAATTCCCATTGCTGAATTGGCCTTGTCGGGCCTCCGGAAAACCTCCTACCAGCATCCATGTTATTCCCATAAACATTTACTGATGGCTTCTTGGATGCCAGGTCCCGTCTTGGACGCCCTGGTGGGGGAGGGTGCAGGCTCTTCTCCTGCCCTAAAGGTGTGGGAGGACACCACGTAAGGAAACAGTGCAACACTTCGAATGTCATCAGTGCCTTCTGACGGGGTTTACCCTGGGCTTATTTCTAGACACATGTGCTTGACTATGCTTGAGGAGCGTGGTAACTTGCAGGAATCTGCCTCTTTTTGGTGGGAACTTTCGGCACTAAAGCATTACCTCTGCGCTGGAGAATCTGGTTGGAGGGGACCGCTAGGGTGGGTAACCTTGGCTCTTTGTTACCCTAGTAGATACCAGTTTCCTTAGTTCTGAAATACACATCTTTAAAATGTACCCTGTAAGGGTGTTGGGGAGATCAAATGAATTTATAGATGTCTGAAGGACTTTGCAAACTGTAAAACGTTTCAAAACAGTATTGCTGCTATCAATCATTAACTAAGGATAGGATTAAAGTTAATACACTTATTTCCTAAATATAAAATGTGCTAAATATTCATTACTTAAGCAGTATTTACCAAAAACCTTTGTTTTGTGCTTGACTTAGGCACTCCTAGGTCGAGTACCATATATTGAGTATTTGTGATGTTGTAGCTACATATTTGCTAAATAATCACTTAGCATACATTACCGTATTTAATACAACCACCCTATGAAATTCACACTATTAACAGTCCACATTTTACAGGTGAGGGATATGACACTTAAGAGGTACCATACTTAGGTCACACAGTAATTAGTAGTACCAGATTTAAAGTCAGATCCATCTTTACAAAACTTTTCCTGAGCTCTTGATTTGTGTGATACACAATCTGTGAAAGTATCAGCATACAGTTGAGAATGGAATGCAAGTGCTGTGATATTAGGCCTTTTCTTCCAGCAAGTTCTCACTTTTCTGTAATTTCCTTTGTTAAATTTCACTAATTAATTTTGAAGTGGGTTTTTCTCTTAAATTGAGCAGTCAGTTGGAAGTATGTAAATGGAAAAATAACTATCTTATTAGCAGTTGACATTTGATTGGAGTTTGAGTAGAGAAATTGATGACATAGCAGATTAGAATCAGAATTAATAAACAGACAACCAGCTTCCCCTTCCTGGTAGACCACTAATTTCAGAACTTTGTTTATTTTGGCAGGCCATTTTGCCCCTATAACTCTTGAGGGGTATGCCTCCATGTTAAGTGTAATGAGGTGATGTGTGAGTCATGATGTACATAGTCTGGTACTGGAAGAATACAAATAACCATAGTATTTCTGAGGTAAAGTGTATAGGTACCTCTGTTTTTGCCTTAATTGAACATCTGTATCAGTAAGAGAGGTGAGTAGCAGGTACAAATTGTATTATGACTGCTTCAGGAAATTGGATTTAATAAGGCAAATGCATTTTACATTATGTTGTTTTTAAGCATTTGCTAGTTCAGGTTCATCATTCAGATTGCCATTTAACATTCTCTGAAACTTCCTAGGTATCAAGCATTTTACCAGGTATTTGATGTACATTAATTCTTTTAAAACTCAGTAACACTGTTAAGGTGTTAAACCCCATTCATTATTTAATGAAGGTTCTGTGAGATCAAATAACTTGTTCAGGTGGTAAGTGGCAAAGATATAGAAATCCATACCCATAACCGTCTTGTCTGTAACCTATTGGAGAAGCCAGATACCTGATGAATGAGTATCCTGCAGTATATTAGTGTTTCTGGTATAATGTGGTATAAGAAAAGTGCTGTGGAGATTTAAGGAAGGACAGGAGTATTGATGAGGTGAGAGGGGGAGAAAAAGATTGCTTAGAAGTTACCATTTAAGTACTGTGCCTTAGGCATGGTGCTTGATAGATTATAAACATGCTTAATCCTCACATTAGCTTTGTAAAGTGCCATAGGTGGTATGCCTGATCCTAGGTGATGAAACACATCCATTAAGTATTTGCTCAAGTTTATTAAGCTATTAAGTAATAGAGATGGAATTCAAATTAAAAATCTAGTGGGTCTGAATCTGGATTTCAAGGGCTGGGCTCTTCCTACTGTACTTTGCTACTTTGAAGGAGAAATGGAAGCTCAACAGGTGGTGGGCCGGAAAATGTTCAAAGCTGATGAAACAGCTCTAGCAAGGTATGGAGATGGAATAGTGTAGAATGTGTTTGTTGTGATTGATTTAGAGAATTAATGGTGAAAGATAAAACTGGAAAGAAATTAGAGCCAGATTTTGGAGGTCTTTCAGAGCTGTGCATAAACAGTGGTTTAAAGTTTTAATCTGTAGGGATGGAGAGCCATCAAAGGATTTTTCAACTGGGGAGTGACATAACACTAAGTTTCAGGTTTACTTCACTAACACTATATGGAGCATGTGCTTGGAATCTCCATGGGTAAGAACAGAACAGGGTGACACTGCTAGGAGGTAGGTCTCAATATGGGGCTTCATTTGATATATTGAAATTCGCAAAGTAAAATACTTCAGAAATCTTAGGTTTTTCCCTGTTTTACTCTTTTGGTGATGTGATTTAATTGGAATTCCCTAGGGTATATTTATCAGGCTTCTCAGTCCTTTTTGATCTGTCTTCAAATATTTTTCTAGTTATCCTTTTCTCCTGTTTATTTTGGAATCATTTGAGTATAAATAACTAATGCAGTTGTTTCAAATGGGAAATAATAGGTTTTGAGAACAGCTAATGCAAATAAAGGGGAGGCTACTTTTATTACAGTCCAGTTTCCTAAAAATTTCCAAATATAGTGGACACTCTAGTGCCTTGGTTTACTGCCTCTAGGTTCTGTTTGAACACCTGGAGAAAATGACATGGACAGAGAAGGAACTAAAAGAGCTATGCACAGCCTGTGGAGGAAGTGATCCTTGTCTGCTCATACAGGAGTAAGAAATTTCTTTCCTTTTAAATGGATATTAGGGTCTGTCTGACCCTTGTTCTCTTAAATTATATGAAATTAAGCATGAACTCTGTGCTGTAGAATCAAGCTTACAACTCACTTTGAAAATCTCCCCTTTTGGCTTTATGCAACTCTTCATTACCTAAAGGGAAGAAAATACACGATGCTCTTTGTTCATGCATTAAAAAAAGAATTTAAAAAAATCCCTGGATTTTTTTTGCCAGGGAATTTGTTATTGTAGTGAAAACATGAGCTTTAAAACTCAAGGCAAATCAAGTTATGGAAGCAACCTAAGTGTCCATCAATAGATGAATGGATAAAAAAGATGTGGTACATACACACCATAGAATATTATTCAGCCACAGAAAAACCCTGCCATTTGTGACAACATGGATGGACCTAGAGGGTATTATGCTCAGTGAAATAAGACAGGTGGAGTAGACAAATACCATATGATTTCACTTATATGTGGAATCTAAAAGCAAAACGAAACAATGAACAAATAGCAGTAGACTGACAGACACTGAAAAGTAACTGGTGGCTACCAAGGGGGAGGGGTTGGGGTCAGTGGGTGGGGAGGGGGAGCAGGTAAAGGAGCACAAAAATTCTCATAGTATGAGTTGGTCATGGGGATGGTAGGTACAACATGGAGAATATAGCCAATAATTCTATAATGTCTTCCTATGTTGACAGACAGTAACTACATTAGTGGGTAAGAATTTAATAATATGGGTAACTGTTGAACCACTGTGTTGTATACTTAAAAGCAATATAAGATTGCATATCAATGATACTTATATAAAAAAATTAAAAAGGATTAAACAAAACTCGTGACAAAATCTGAGTTAGCTTTTCAGCTTTGTTTCTGGTGCGTTTTGTCACCTTGGGCAAGTTCTCACTTTGAATCTTAACTCATCTATAAAAGGGGAATAACTGTAACCTAATTCATAGCATTTTAAAAAAACTTAAAAAATCTACCAAGTAATGCATGCTTGTTGCACATCAGTAACATAAAATTGTATGAAAAGGCAGTTAAATCTCATCTTGTTCTCCTAATTCTTAACCCCTGAAAGGTATCTTTGTATACCATTTTCTTCTGCATATTCAGATACATAAATGCATAAGCTCTCTCACCTAATCTTCACTTAGCTGATTAGGTAGGACAGAGGCCCTCCATTTCCTAGGGTCTGCTCTGATATGCCCAAGTACTTTTGCTCTCACCAGTTGAGTTGTACTCTTGACAAGTCAGTATTTGCTCCCAAACCAATGTGTACTGGTTATATCTGTCATACAAATATATATACATAATCTGATAAAATAGCAATGTAAAAAGTTTTTGCTTATCTGAAAACTAAATTAAATGCTTTGGAAGGGCTTTGTAGGGTTAAGTTGCTGAAAAATTGCTGATCAGTTTTATGTGGGCAAGATGGGTGTAAAGATAACTTGGGAAAAAATCATTGAGATACAGGATTGTGCACTTATTGCTTGGTGAGTGTTGGAGGTTGCACTTGACTTGCAGAAACCCAATCAGTGTCTTACAGAGAGGATTTATGCTAGAAAGAAGTCCGGTGGGCCCATTTCCTGAAGAAAAGGTTAGACTTTCATTAAAAGATTGCTGCATGGATGTGTGTGCTTTATGTTTAAATGAAATATTTAAGT